GTTGTACTAAGTTCATTGAAGTTTCATTTAAAAAATTGGGATGCATAATCTGAATACGTATTTTGACTCACGAGCATAGTTTGAAAAAATTCGAAACATTCTAGTACGATAAAAAATAACTATCAAAGAAAAGCGGTAACCTAAGTCAAAAAAAGAATCTTGGCGGTTAAATAATAACAGCCAAAAAAAACCTTTTTTGAGTCAAATACACTGTTCGAGCAAACAAAAAACCTAAACCAAAAACAGGTTTTTTATTTAGTTTTTAAATTATTTTTTGAACGTTGGGCAAAAATCACAGAAGGGTTTTCCCTAAAAAGAAGTATTTGCTCGCCCGGTATATAGAAACTTTAAGGTGAAAATCTTAGCAAGACTTATATAAAACTGTTACTGCTTCTCCCGAGTCCAGACTTTCGACTTATGTGTTGACCTACTGAGCTCAAAACTTGCAATCTTGGCTCTAAACATCTGCGAACGAGAAGCTTTTTTTTTTGTTGAGCATGAAGTCGAGAAGTCTCAATTCTCGTCACAAAAATCAAAACATCGATGAGGCACAGACGAAAAACCTAAACCAAAACTGATTTTTATTTATTTTCATTTTTTTTAATTTTGGAAATGGATTGGGCAAAAAGTTTTAGTGGGATCCCAAATGAAAAGCATACATCATCGTTTCACTGCAATTTCAGGACTTTAAACGAATAAACTTGACCCAGGACAATCAAAACAAACGTTGCGCTCAATAAAATTTAAAAATGAGCAACCTTTTTTTTTCTTTTTTCTTTTTTTTCAAACATTTTTTGCTGGGAAAATAAATGAAAGTTTCAAGGTGAATTCTATCAACGCCAAGATGTTTTTAGTTTTTTTTTTAATTTGATTTATCACTCAATCCGAGCAAATATTTTTCTGCTCTTTTTGTACGTAGAAAATGATTTAAAAAACAATAATGAAAATTTATCCAAGTGCTTTTTCCTATTTTGTACCTAAAACCAAAAAATATCCCAAAATTTTAATTTGTCTCTTTTGACTGAACCTGATACAAAAATTTATTAGTTTGAGCACAAATTAGCTGTCTTTTTTCTCAAAAATTTAGGCCTCCCCGATTTTGGCGAGCCGGTGAACACATATCTAGTTTTTCTTAAACTATGCCGAGCAAATGGTTTCATTGGTCAGAAAACTAAACGTCTAAGTAAACAACTCACAAAACTGCAACAGTCGAGTACTATGGTTCAAGTTGTTTGACAGACAGATGGAAGCAAAGTTTCGAAAATTACCGATTGCGCAATTACAACGACCTGAAAACTCAATTTTAATAAATTTCTTTATTTGTATTCATAAATATATAAAATTAATATAAAATTCAAAAAAAACAACGATCGTAGTAAATCATCAAAGTACAAAAATTAAAACCAACATGGTCAAATCAAAACTAGTGACTCTTTCTTGTCGCGTTCATTTTTTCAAAACAAAGGGTTTTTGTTCAACCGATTACATATAAAATAAAAAAAGAAAGGGCGAGCATCATTAAAAAAAATTGCTCTGCTTGTACTCGTTTTTTTTTCCAAAAAGAAACAGGAAAACTAAGCAACTGAACATTACATAAACTTTTTGAGAAGAGCTGCAAAAAAATTTTTGGCTGTTTTTCAGTTGAAATTTTGAAAAATTTATCCGCATGATAACTAGAATGAAGTCCAATTTAAAAAACTCGCGGAAAACTTATTTTTTTAAGCCCTTCAAGGCAACAAAAGTGAAAGGTTTGTATAAAAACGGTAACTGTTGACTTATGTTTTCGGCTGCTAAACACGACACATAATTCATTTTTCAAAGCCAAGAGAGTACAATTTTGCTTATAAAATTTCTCTGCCGAGAAGTTTTTTGAGTTCAGCTCAACGTCGAAAAAGCCTCGATTCTTGCCACAAAGGTCAAAACATTGGTCAAGCACAAAAGTTATTAAAACCCAAAATGTATATGGATTTTTTTGGCTTTTAAATTTAAATTTGGGCAAAAAACAAAGAAGTTTTAGCTCGAATAAATATCAGAATTTTCAATTTTTTTCAACTGTTTATCATAATTTTTTTTGTAGCACGGAATCAAAAAAGTCAACTAGAACAAATAGCAAAAAATTTTTCAAAACATATGAACCAAACAGCTTTTATATTTTCAAAAAAATGGTTCATTTTTTTTTTACTGAAGCGTCATATGAACTTTTTTAAAAGTTTTGATCATAAAACTTCACTTTGAATAAGTAATCGGACCGTCAAACATGAACCAAGTCAAAACAATGTCTCGTACAAAACTTAAGTTCATGAGTCGATTAAAATATTTTGCAAAACTAAAATAAGAAAACCTGTTGAAGTACAAATTGCACAGAATTATCCGGTTATATCTATTTTTATTGACGAAAAACGAAAAATAAATAGTTTTTTGACTTTTCGTGTTTTTGAGCGAATAAAACAATCTTGAAACATCTCGTAAATTTTTCGGGGTCAACCAAAACACAGCTGCGCAGAATCAAATCTTAAATTAAACTGTCCCACCTTTTTCGGTTTTCTTCGAAAAAAAATGATCGGTTTGGTTGCTCTCAAAACTGTTATTTATTTTCGAATTATTTTAAACTGACATCAAACATTCTCACCTAACAATTTTTAATTTTCGTGAGTTTACGTGAAAAAACTCGGAAATTTAAGCACTCGAATGCAAATTTTAGAAAACTACAGAAGAGGATTGTTAAACGCCGGTAATTTTTTGTCGAGAAAATCAAAAAAATTCAAATTGATTTTTTTCAGCATAAAATTTTTTTTTTTCAATTTGTCAATTGCAAAAAGTATCTTTCGAATACAAGTTTTTAGTTCCTTCAAAATTGAGACAAAATTGATTTGATTCGGTCAGTTTGAGTTGAGCACTTTTTTCTTTGATTGAGTACCAAATAATATAACAAACCAAAAAGATTGTCCAGTGTTTTGGCTCAATTTACTTGCCATATTGTTGAAAGTATTTTTTTTTGGAAAATTACAGAAATTGATTTATCAACTTCATTGTAACAAAGTTTTGTGTAACTAATTTTGAATTGACATCATTAAATTGAGGCAAGAAAGTAAAAAAAAAATCAAATACCCTCTTTGTATTTGATATTTTTGATAACAAAAACTTTCATTCGCCCGATTACTCGGGTTGAAGTCCTTTCAAGAAATCTGCCTAGCATACAATCTCGAAAATTTTTTTAAATTGGTTTAAAACTCAATCAAAAGAAGTTGGTGTTTTTTGGTTACATGGGAACAACTTTGACATCCAAAAAGTTTTAACAGAAAATGCCTGTCATATAATTTCATATATGTAAACTGTGTTATATGCAATTTTCCACATGAAAAAAGAAAGTTTGAGGTGAAACTTTTTTAATACCGTTTTTGGCTGCAAGTTGCATCTGAGCTCTAATACACATATTATGGAAAAAAATCGCATGCAAACTTTGTTTTTTCGTGTCTATAACGTAGTCCAGGGTGAATTTTTCACCCAAAAAATTCAAAAATTACACGCAAGTGTTTTTAACACAATTCTTTGTGTTCATCTTCTAAGATAAACATTAACTTGTTGAAAAAGTAATACTTTTGTCTCAACCAGTGAAATTTATAAACTAAAAATTTTCTAGCCATATACAAAAAGTTACGTTTTGGGTGATTAATTCTGTGTGAAAATAATAACGCATACTTACATGGCTAACATTAACAACTGCAGTATCTGCGTGATAACTGTGAGTTATACTCCGGGTTTCCTATGAAAGAAAAATCAAAATCTTGCTTATTGTGTTTCGGTTGAAACACACAATTTCAAAAAAAAAAATCTTTCATTTTTTCATTTATGGCAAAAATGCTTATCACTCATTTTCATAGTTGGAAAAAAGCCTGTCGCACAATTTTATAGCACAAAAAAGTGCTTTTTCTATTTTTATAAAGTATTTGTGTCAAAAATTATGGCAAAAGTCTTGTTGTTTATTTCAAAACTGTGGCAAAAAACGTTTTTTTTATATAAAATTTCATAGCATGGAAAAAAAGCTTATCATGATGCTACTTTGATATTACTTTTCTGGTCTATGGAATAGTATTATGAGCTTTTTTTCATAGTATGAAACTGTTCGATAGCCATTTTTGGTAACCCACATATATGCTTCAAGAAAATGCGCAAAAAAAAAATTTTGTGAACAGATTCATATTTTATTTTGCAAAAAACTGGTAAACTTAGTTTGCTGAACGAAAAAAAAAATGAAAAATAAACGTTTGATAGATACAAAAGGATCCAATAGTACTTCTGACAAAAATTAAAGCACATACTTGGTTGAAGTTAGCTTTCTATTAACAACGAGCTGCGCTGACATTTTTACCAGCTTATGTAGACTTGAAAGTTTGATATCTGCACAAAATAGGAACTGATCTAAGATTAGTTACTATTTGGGTAGATGTCAAAATTAAATCTAATTGAAACATTTTATTTCATTGACAATTGTGCAAAAAAAGTTCATGGATTTCAACCTTTTTTTCTAATTGGCCGAATTTTTGTTCTCATCGTTTTTTAAAAATGGCCCAATAATATATGACACCTTTCGACGTTTTGACCTTTATTGGCTGAAGATTAGCTGTAGTTGTCCAAAATTAATTTCAAAACTTTAAGGCCAAATTTGTTTTACAAGATATTGAAGTGTAAGAGCCCTATATACGCCAAACAACCATAAACCGAATAGCCAATAAACATAAATCGACACCTTCAAAGACTCAAGATTTGAAAACCTGATCCTAGTTGAAGACCTGATTATGGATCGGAACCTTATAAATGATAAAGGGTGTTTACTTATATTTGGATAGCCGGTCCAACAAATATCTGGACTTAAAAGAGCAAATCAATACACTTTAGATAACAGACGTATAAATGTCCAGACTATATTGAGCCAATCAAATTGCACCGACACTGTTTGACAAAAGAATCCGAATTGTCCAATCAAAACTGACCAAATCTGTTACTATCTTGACTGAATGAATTGTAAAAGTCTAGATATAGACGGGACGGACCATTCGATTGATTCGACTATTCTGAGCAATCAAATTCAATTCAATTCAATGAATGAAAATAAAGCAGACCTTTTCTCTTTGTTAGCTTAGGGCGGATTCCTTCTATTACTATACTATACTTCACCCCAGAGCACTTTTTACTTTACCTGAAATTAATCAAACTTACTTCTGAAAAAAGTCGGCCTGCGTTTGCAAATTTAAAAAAAATTGTACTCTTTTGTAAAAAAAATCCTTTGATTTCTATTGGTTATTTTTTGGATATCGAGATTGGCAAGTTAGTACTCGGATAGTATTGGAGTATAGTTAGACAGTTGGAGATTTTGAAAAGAGATTTTTTGACAGAAATTCTTTACTTTCTGTTGTTACAATTTGTCAAAACTGTCTCGAATCTGTCGAAGGTAATCACGAGCGATGAACGGACTTAGGGTAAGTTAGAGTAACCCCCCAACTTAGCTATTTTTCTCCTCTTTCTTCTTATAAATTCTATATCTATCTTTTTTGTCAGCTCAATACTGCCGGCCTGATTTTTCCGACGTTTCACCCACTTGATATATGTCACGTGTCAACCGAATTTCACCCCTTAAATTTACCCCGCCACACAAAATTCACCCTCAGCAGCAATCATCATCAACAGTTTTTTGATTCACACCACTGTGACATGTACTCAATTTATCACTTAGACATTCCTTAATTGATCCTGAAAAAGTGAAAAAAGATGTAAAATTGTTCACTCATTTTTTTCCTATTTCGATTGACATTTTGAGACAAACAATTTTAGGTATTCATTTTCCTGTTAAGTTTCAAAAGGTAAGTTACGATTAATTGATTACCAAAAAATACCTTTAGAAAATTCTCAGAATCATTAGCAGACGAAACCAAATAACATTTGATATAACGTTTTTTAATGATTTCGAACTTTTATTGGCTATAAATTTTTAAATGTCATCTACTTAAAGCTGTTGTATGATTTAAACTACTGTATTATAATAAATGGTAACAATTCTACTTCAGAAAAATATCAAGTTTTTGCTAAAATTTCAGTTTGAAGACCAGCCTCAAGTTCCCTGTCAGTACCCCTTAACTATAGACAGCGGAGGAGGAGCGGGGGGTTCAATCACCCCTTTCGAATCAAACCCGGGGGTTCAACCCAGTTCCCTTCTCAACGCCAACGGTGGATACCACCCGACACCCGGTAGTGCCACCGGGTCAACCACGCAACAGCAGTCTTCATCTGCCGGCGGTGGAGCCGCACAACAAGCATACACTCCTCATCCCGTGTCGGTGTCAGTCCCCCCTCACGGGACCTCGACTGGGGGTGTGTTGCAGTCGGGGGTTGTTCCAGGGGGGCATCATGGGAGTATGGGGGGAGTGACTCCCCATGGCCAAGACGGATGCGTGCAGGATAAAGATTCGGTTTACAAGTGAGTACCAAAATTGATTTTTCACAGTGACCTTTTTCTATCATAAATCGATTCAAAGTTGCAACCTTTTGAATAGATTTTGTAAAAGATAATTTTTTATAATGGCTTTTTTTTAGAAATGGATTCGGAGATTCATTTTTTGAAAAATTTTCGTTGAAATGATGATTGAGACGCTCTCCTTAGCTACGAAAATGCTAAAAGCTCAAAAGTTTTCGTGGTTTCTCTATTTGAACAGTAAAACTCTCGTTATTATAAAGCAAAAATCCCTAGCTAGAAAAACACACATGCGATTGCCGGCCTAAACATTTTTAAAAATTTATGATCGGGAATGTTTTAAATCTAGCTCACTTACTTTCATCCAACTTTAAATAAAATTTTACAACAAAAACGTTTTTCTTTTACGATCTACTTTGGTTTCAATGGCAACCTTCAAGGTTTTGGCCGCTTTTTTCCAACTTCAAAATTTCGTCATTTTGATCTCAATTTTGATATTAATCAAGTTCGAGTTTCATTAGTAGACTCTGAGAATATTCTAGAATCTATTCGGAGAACATTCGAGAACCTAATTTGTTTCTCGTTTCAGCCACCCCCTGTTCCCCCTGCTGGATCTGGTGTTTGAGAAGTGTGAGCTGGCCACCTGCACCCCCAGAGAGCCAGGAATGAGTGGGGCTGACATCTGCTCCTCCCACTCTTTCACAGAAGACATTCACCACTTCTCAAAACAACTGTTCGAGGTTCGGTTTTGTATTTAGAATCATTAAAAAATAATACACTGCTTCCTAGGGATATCTAAAGCCAGAATTAATCTTTTTAACTTACAACGTCAAATTTGATTGTTTGAGCAATACATAACTTCACAAAACAACTGTTCGAGATAAAAAAATTTCTTAATAAAATGTGAATATTTAGGAATACTAAATTGTTATCAAATGGTATCTAGTTACAGATTTATTCAACTTAATTTAAAACATCAGATTTGTATTGCTCGGAAATATCATTAGCCCAGCTTGGTCGGATTTTCTCATTTGTTGTCTTTCCATTCGTGTCGTGTTTTTTTTCATCGATTATATTTATTTTTTTTAATTATTTTTATTAATATTATTGCTTTTTGTAACAACCATAACTGTTTTGCGCGATCATTGGTCAGACCACCCAGAGACGAAAAACTTTGTTTGCAGAAATTTTTTTCTTCTCTTCCAGATACCACAAACACACATCTGATGAAGAAAGTGGTTTTGAAAAATAAAACCACGAGTAATTCGGTCTACAGAGAAAGAAAAATTCTTTTAAAAAAAGGTTTTGTGTTTTTAAAAATTTTTTGAAAGACAAAAAAAGGTTATGAAGGTTGACAGCCTGACAATAAGTTGCTTTTCATTTAATTATTTTTAACTTATTCCTGAAATTTCATTTTTAAACTCATATTTGGCGAAGCAATCATGAAACTACTCTTGCCTCCTGAGAAATTGTCTGGCAAAAAGAAAAAGCATGCCTTTTGATAAAAAAAACAGCAAGTTTTTTGAAACTTACAAAAATCTGTCTAAGTATTTGAGCTTGACACAAAACTTCCCAGTCAGAAAAAAACGACATATATTTGTTGATCATAGGTCATTACAGCCGTTGTTTGGGAATCTGAACAGCTCCTTTTTTGCTTTTTCTCTCTTGATTGAATGATGCAAATCTTTTTATGCAAGCCATTTTATGTCATTTTTTGTTTAAAAACAAAAAAAAATTAATGAAAATTTTGGGCTCGTTTTTTTAAGAGAAATTGCTGAAAAGAGAAATTGCTGAAAATTTTTCAATTGATAATGCAGTTATCACAATTTTGCCATTACCACTAAAATTACACAGGTAAACAAGAAAAATGGGTTCCTTGCTAGGATTACAGAAATTTTGCCTCGTCTATTTTAGTAGTTATGGCTCGTCACCAACTTAAGTCTATCTCAGTTACAAAAAAAAAACAGAAAAACCATTTTCAAAAAAAGTATCTTTTTTACTGTTTTTTTTTCGAACTGAGAGGGAAGGAGTTTGTTAGTGAGTCATCATTCATTTAGAATTAAGTGAAACACAAAAAAAATCAAGACAGTGAGGATTGCAAAAACACTGATAAATTAACCAAAAAAAAATGATTAAATCAGACCAATTGGTCTCAAAACTGGACCACATTTTACGAGTTTTCCTTGAGGGAGTAATGTTGCGTTGCAAAACAACACACCCTACCCTACAATTTTTTCTTATCATCCTTGAAATCCTTCCTATCTTTTTACCCCTTTCACTCGAACTGCTCAAAAAGTCCCTATGTCAAAAAACATTGGTTTGAATTTTTCGAGTTTTAGTCTAACTTCGGGCGAGTAAAGAGGTCGATTTTTTTTGTTATATCATCAAAATTGATCATTTAGGCTACGAACTCAATTGTTTTAGAAACTTCCTGTAACGCTTTCATGGTAATAAAAAGTTTTCACCAAAATTTTTTAAAAAGCTGTCTGAAATAGGAAAGTAATAAAGTAATATTTTCCTTCATTTGTTTGTTTTTCTATTTCAAATTTTTTGAATTTTTCGTTTTTTTGGTTAACTCGTTAACGTTCTACGCGTTTGAACTACCTTTCATCTTACAACGCTCAACGAAGCACACTAGTTTGAAGGAAAAAAAGGAAAAATTTGTAGTTTTTTATGACTGTTCCAAATAAACTGTGCTACTTGCACTGCAACCGGCTATCCTTGTTCTGGTTTCGTAAATAAGGACTGGTCTACATCGCATACTAAAGAGTTTTTTAATGTTTTCAAATTTTGATTTTTTCATTTGAATATCGAAAATCTTTCAATCAAAAAAATCGTCTTTTTTGTTTTTCTTATTGTTTCGAAATAGTTTCATTTGTAATGTTTATGGCTCTATTTGCCCAAACCATTATAAACTTATTTCGGTTAGGGCCTGCTTTTTAATTGATCAAATAAACCTTCTTTGGTGTCCTAAATTAGTTCACAATAATAAACAAAACTTACTTTTAAATTGTCATTTTAACGACCGCCTCAAACCACTAGTAATAATTTCTGATAGCTAGTAGCAGCTTAGTACTAATTTAGAGTCCTTCCCTACCCCAAATTCGCCCAAAAAGCGCCCAACTTGATCATACTTTCCCTATCCCCGCCTCTCCTTATGCCGACGGGTAGCCCACTTCCGAGTTCCGGGAAAAGTGGGTCAAACTAATTTAAAAACAGACTTTTCCCATCCACCTTATTTTCCTTATATCCATAACCTATTATTACTTATAAACTCACTAACTTATAGGCAGTTAAAACCACCCCCAACCACAAACTGTAAGGGCGCACATGTAGTAAATTGGCCTTTATGGGGAGTAACAGCTCTCTAGGTTAATAATAAAAAGACGTCTTATAGCTTGGTTTATAACTAGACTTCCTTCTGTCATAAAACGCCCATTTTGACTGGGTTCCAATTGCACATCGAAGTTTAACAATCAAAAAATTTTTCCCTTTTCTTTATGAGTGCCATTTGCTTTCAGCTGGGAAAAAAACACAATTTTAATCAGATGTCAAAAAAAACAATGGCGAAAAATTTGCAGAAAATATACAAAAACGTTATTCTTTTTAATTCTACTTGAATTTTGATATTGGAGATATTTTAATTTTTTTATACCTAATATAGCTGGAAAATTAAATGTGATCAGTGTAATGGTTCGTTCAAACCAAAACTGAACCCGACAAAAAACTATTTTATAAAAAATTTTGTTGCGCACAACTAAATTGTTTGAAGCCTTGATCTCCTTTTGCTGGGAAAAACATGTGTTAATAATTCAATTATTTCACATTTTAACAGAACAGTTAAAGTCTTTCGGCTTTTAAAACCCAAATTATTCTTACTTCACAATAATCGAATGTCAAAAGAATTATTTTTGCAAAAGATAATGGAATTACATGGTTGAGCCTAAATGTTATTAATTTTAGCCTCTGGTCAAAATGTTGTAATTTTTTTTCAGAGCTCGCCTCGTAAATCTGAAATATTATATTCATGACATTTGTTTATTTTTCTAAGGCAGGGTTCTTTTAATGGGTTTAATTTCGTGATATAATTAGACTTAATATGATTTATAACTTATTATAACCAAAAGTAGGGACTCTTTTTGGGCTGGTTATTTTTGTGGCTTTTTTGAAGTTGGGAAAAATGAGACTTTTTGGCACCGGAACTCATGGATTTTCCTCAAAACACCTTATAAAAGGTCCCAATTGATAATTAAATTCAGACAATTTGATGTGTCAATCAAAATAATTTCACGTGCTGTTTTTTTAGCATCAGAACATCAAAGGTTTTGAATAAATTTTTCAGAAAAAATTTGATTTTATTCTGAAGTTTTTTTATGTTCAACTGTTAAAAAATTTTGAAGGTGGGCGAAAATTATTTAAATTTTCAGGATTCAGCCATCAACAATTTGCTATTTATGATTTTTTGCGGCTAAGTGGGCGCTATGGAATGGCTATTGAATATTACTGGAAATTATCTGGCAACAATTTAAAAAGGTCTTTTCTTTCCTGAATTCCAATCAGGCAAAGGTATCTAAGCATCGGAGAGAGACTTAATAAGGACTCTTTTAGCAATTGAGGTTAAGAGATGAAATTATCAGAGCTATTTGGGGGGAAGGAACAAAAAACGGTCCAGATGTTATTGAAATGTACTATCTAAGCCCGGCAACTTAGTTAGTAAAATCCAGATAAATCAATTTTTACAAAAAAAATACTAAGGGCAGTTTACTTTTCCTTGCGCACTTCAACATACTTAAACACACGCGCACTCTAATTCCTTTGCATGTACGAACTAATACATATTGACATTTTTAGTAATTTCGGGACTAAAATATGTTCACTTTTTTTAATAGTTTCTCGATTTTTAAAAAAATTTTATGCAAAACTGAAAACTCGACACTTGGATAGAATCTTTAGATTTTTAATGCGTTCTAATTTTTTTAATGAATTTCTAGACATTTTGGTAGAATTTTCTCGTTTTTCGACAAAGTTGTTGGACAATTTGGCTGTCAAGACAGAACATGTACTTACGCGACAATATATGTCATTTACTTATTCACTTATCAGACCATTAATGATTAAGACTTACAATGATATATGACTAAGTATACCGCTGAACAATTGAACCGATTGGGCTATTTTTAACCTGCTCTAGTTATCAATAGTTAGTAAATATCAGACTACCAAACTTCAAAAGCATCAGGGTTTGAACCAATTTGACGAACAGTTACCTGAACAGAACGCGCTTTGTTTACCGCTCTGAAAGATATCACAAACTAAAAGTATTCTCAATAACTGTTATGAATTAATACTGGGCGCAGTGTTAAACCGAGGAATATTTGCCATATACCTTTCATCAGTGTTAGAATGTATTTGCCCAAATTGGGCGTTGTTTGTAAGCTATTAGGATGGTTGATCGTGCTGATTTATAGAGTAAGGTACCCCCTACAAACCCTGAAAGAGTCTGCTAAATTCAACACCTTGTGTTAACATCCCCAGTTTAATCGGATTTGAAATTTCATCTCCATGTAAATCAAACCTTTGATGTGTTACTCAAATGGCGGATAATTCGATCGACTTAACGAATTATAATGGAATTCAACTTTTTCGATTTGTTAAAACAAAAAATTTGACTCTTCATTGACTCTACCAAAATCGTCCAACTTCGAAAAAAGTCCAGTGGCACTGGAATATAAAAAAAATGGAATGCAAAGTTTTGAATTGATACATTTCGGTTCATTTTAAAAGTTTTTAAGCTTTATTTATTTTTTTTGTTTCAGGGAATGAGCAACGAGAAGAGCAATGTGTACAGCGACCAAGACACCGACTCATTGGTTAGTACTATTTATTTCTTGTCATCTATTTACTAAATTTTCGCTGGTCCACTATTGAATTCTATCTACAACCCAAAAGGTAGCCTTTCAGCTATCTCTAAAAAATGTTTAAAAAATTTGTTAACAATTTTTTTTTTAAATCAATTGGTTCAAAATGTCATAGGAATCTTAGCGAATTTGGAAAAATTTCCTATCTGTCATCATTTTGCTTTGTACCGGTGCAACAAAAAAAAACAAAAAGTGAACATTATCTCAAGTCAATCTTAATTGAGAACTGGAACAACTAGAACCAGTCTAGTTAAGCCGCGAGAAGATTTACAATTCCCCAAACACCCATAACCTACCTGGGCTAACATAACCACCAAAGCCCTCTCAAAAGACTCTAGTAAGGGTGGCATACCATTAAGCACACATCTCGCTTCATATAATTTTTTCTATCATTTATTGTTATTTTTGAGTTTTCGTTCCGGTTGAGCTCTGATTTATTTTTCGACAATGAAAAAAAATCAAAAATCATCAAAAGTTGAAAAAAATTGACAATGTTAATCAAAAAACAAGACCTACAGACGTATCTTATACATTTGTGCTAAAAAAGATATGCTAAGTGAGACATCACCCCTAGTACGAACTCAGTACTCTTATAATTCATTTGTAGATTTGTACACAAAAATGGCGGAGCCATCTAATTTATTCAGATTAGCGGCAGAGATTTGTAGCAAATGAGACCATATAAGAAGGATGTATTTTCCCATTCTAAACTCATTTTTAACTCATTTTCGAGTTATACTTAATGGACTTACAATTGGATAATCATTAATGAGGAAAAATTAATCACTGAAAAAATTGTACTGGAAATTTTTCGATTTTAGCAAACATTCTCAGTTATGAGTTTTTTGATGCAGCCAATGCGGGCGTCCACCGCTTTTTGAAGAATAAATCCTTTTCAGTTGAAGCAAATGAATCTTCCTATAAATATTTCAGGTTTTCTCACTATGAAGCACGCTTTTATGGGTTGCATTGTTCGAAAAAAAATAGAGTTTCATTGTCTGTTTCGTTGCGAATTTTTGTGCTTCATTAATAACAAAAAAAGACTTTGCCGAAACTTCAAATGATCGGTTTTCGAAATGTTTTGGTTGAAAGTCAGTTTCTGCTTGAGAAAGGGCTTCTGGCAACTCTAAGCTAACTTGTTGTTTTGAAACCTCTCTATTACTCCTGTTGCGGATTAGTTTTAATTAGTTTTGTTTTTGTTTCTTCAAATATCATTTTTCTTTCAAATGCAAAAATTCTTCCAAAAAATTAGGGAAGAACTATGGAGCTAATGTGTCAACAAACAGAGCCCGTTTTGTTTACTCTTTTTTCATGGATAAACAAAAAGTTCGGCCTCAAAGGCGGGTCAAAATCATGGGCTGCAATTCGGGCAAATTTACAAAAGAATGTTCAAAGGCTTCAAAATAGCTTGTAGCTTACAAGCACGCTTTAACTTGAGGATATTTTGAATAATCTTATGATTCTCAGATAGACAAAAATAATGTCGTTGCTCTGGAATAAACTTTTAAACTTCTCAAAGACGGCATTAACTGAACTTTAACATGCTTAATGTTTACAAGGTACCGGAATAGTGTACTTCAGCTAATTAGCTTGTGTTTCCGCCAAACCAAACTTAAACTTTATAACTTGGAAGAGTTTATAAATTATAAATACTATTACTAGTTGAGTAGTATTAAACTGGACTTAGAATTCAAAGAGTTGAAACTGTGGGTAATGATACCTTAAGTGTAGTAGGATTAAACTTCCGGGTTGTTTCGATTGTCCGCGAATTGGTTTTGAGTCCAGATTTTATCCGGTTTTATCCTTGCTTTCATTTCGTTTCCGCGCCCGATTTCCCTGGGGACCATATCACTAGAGTGAAATCAAATTAAACTCTGATAAGCATAGGAGTCAGAAACTATAATTTATTAGAACCCAAACTGACCGCATATAGACCAAAATATCAATCGGAAAAAAATCAAAAAAATTTATATTGGAAAAAACTCAAGAAAATGCTTCAAAAATTACTAAGGAAATCTTTAAATTGTTTCAAGACGCAACAATAAACGGAAAAACTGTTTAAAATTGAGAAAAAGTTGCATTCTGCTTTTGAATCGATCGGCTTAGTTTCATTTTTGAGCGTTTTTTATATTGCGGATTTCAAAATTGAAGCTTCGTTATATTTTACGATTTCACAGAACATAAACCTGGGTACATTTTCCCGTGTTTCGTTGTATTACTTAAAACCAAGTTCTAATATAAACGAGACGGTAAAAATGGAATCCGCGGTTGTAAATTCGGATTCTAAATTAGCGCTGTTTCGTTTCCGCTAAATTAAACAGGCGGACTAGCTTATCAACAACAATAACAAGTCTACCAGGAGAGAAAACCCAAAACCCAAGCCCAGAAACTAAAGGCGGTCTGCAATTATCTGGAAACAAAAACTTCTCAATAAGCGGAAGATCCCTCGAACCGAAGATTGTCAAGCCAATTTTATAAAAAAAAGATTTTATAAAAATTTTTGTTTCAAAATTATCATTTCTATTTTTTTCTTGGTTTTTTGGCTGAATCTTTAGATTAAATCATACTCTGGAGTTTGATTTTTCGAATCTGGTTTGAGTGAGTTGAAGTGAAACTTCAGCAAGTGCTTCAAATTCCGATTTACTGCAGTGACGGTGACAGAGACTAATGAAAGGCGTCTAGTTGAGATTGAAAACTAGGGCCCATATAATACTCAGGGGGTAGAATGAATTCCCGCTTGGAAAGGAAATCTCGAAGGGTTCGCCGGAAAAGGGCGGACGCCTGCCTTAAACCTCGGGCTGGGAAAAATTAAGACAAAGTTATATCTACTTATGACCAGCTCCGCTCTACAAACATAAGTTAGTAATATAAATATGCGGCTGGTTTGTAAATCGAAACCAAAAAACCAGCCGGTTGTTTTATTATTATGAAAATATTCAGAAATTGGACGCTCCTTGAGAATTTCCCCAAGCTGGGGCAAAATTACTTCACAAACTTATATTTCATACGGCCCGTTTCTTTGTGGGGATTTGAAGAATAAAGTTGAACTTCTTGGAATAATGTTTTTGTTGTTTTTGCCGCGTATCCCTACCCAGACTAATAATAACTGCTAACTAGCCGGATTAAAATTGGGTTTGTTTTAACTAGCTCGGACCCCCTAACCATAAAATACGAAAACTCACATAAAATGAAGAAAGTTGGTTTTAGGCTGTGAAGTTCTATCTGTAAATCCATGGTCAAAACCAAAACAACATTACCAATTTCTTGTCTTCAGGAATACGTTTTTTGTTCAAAATTTGTCAAATTTAATTCCTGAAAAGTCATGCTAGATTTCCACAAAATACTAAGGGTTCAAACGATTCAGAAGTTATTTCAGAATACTCGCCAAAGTGAACTGATTATATTTGACAAAAAATTTGGAAAAAATAGATAATAGTGAAGTTTTTGGTCCAACAAAAAAATGAATAATGATTGTGAGAGAGCTTTTTTTGGTACGAAACTGTAGTTCTCGAAGAGTTGTTTCCAGTATGCAATATCTCTAGAACGAAATAGCTAAAATATTTAAAATTTATTGAGGAAAATTGTTTGTTTCAGATGTTGCTGGCAATTCAAGTCCTTAGACTTCATCTTCTTGAGTTGGAAAAGGTAACCTTAAAACTTATCAAATCACAATTTTAAAAAACATTTTTTTTTTCAAATCAACCCTAGAATCCTAACTGCTTATGAGGTCTATCTTTCATTTCGTATTTGTCGGGTAGTTCAAATTGTGCGTGTTCTTGGGGCTATATAAATTAGGAACTGGTTGCGACTTTTTGTGATTGTTTATTGTCCCCTCGCCTCTCAATTACCCCCCGATTCAATCTTAGTCGGGGGTTTTTAACTATCCACAGCTCTATAAATATTGCTCAATTTAACTCTTCCTTAACCCTCATTGTGAAAGCCACTGGCTAAACCCACCATGCTGAAACAGAGACACGCCCTTAATTGTATAGAAGCCTTGTCGTGGGTCGGTTATTTTATAGTACTAAAGGGGGCTTTTAATTTTAAACTGGTCACAAGTGCTTTCAAATTGGATGGATTTTGCTTCAAGTTGCCTAATAGTAGAATTCAATTCACAGTCAATTTAGAAACATTTGGGATTTTACTAAGGTGCCGCCTCCTTGCTAAACGTGTGGATTTAAGTTTAGAATATTCGAAGACGTGCTACTGATATTTTCAGATCAGCAAAAAAAAATGGTTTATAATTTAATAATTAACGATGCTTTTTAAAAAAAATTGTACGTAAAAGTTTTTTTATTTTATGAAAGCAGGTAATTTGCTAGTGAAATCTTTTCCAAGCTCAGCATTATTTCCAGATTTCACGTCGGCCAATTTCAACTATTTTTAGAGGATTTTTTTAAAATCCTGAAGTTAAATTTTACTCCTTGTTTGCAGGTGCATGAACTTTGTGACAACTTCTGTGAGAGATACATAGAATGTCTCAAGACCAAAATGCCGATGGATTTGATAGTCGAAGACAAAGAAGGGACGACCTCATCTGCAACTGTATCTACAAACTCCACGTGTTTAACCAACTCGAGTAGTAGTGCAGTGGGCAGTATGTCCAGTAAGCCTAACAGGGTTCCATCTACAGGCAATGATGACACTAATAGCACGAATGACTTCGAAGAGTTCGCGCCGCCCTCTTGTAATGACATGAACGACACGGTTAGATCGAAATATTTTTTTTTAGCTTAACTCAAGAATCTGAATTTTAGGCGTCCTGTTGCAGTTGGGTCTTTTTTTCTGCTAATTTGTTCAAGCTCTGATATTAGAAAAGTATGATTAGTTACGTAAAACTGAGGCTGTTGTTTTAAGACGGGCGCATAAATCTTTTTCGAAAGTGAACGTTTCTGTTGAAAAGTTCAAATTTCTGTATAAATTTATACATCCTCGGCCTTTTTAGTGATTTCCGTTATAAGTTTCAAGGAAAGATGATTTGGATGACGTGTACAAAAAAGTCATTTAGTATGTCTGGAAAAAGTGTCTAATTTAGACTACCTTTAAAGTTCCCATAGAACAATAGTACGCATAAAAGACTAAACGACTGCTGCTAAAAATCCTCTCCTGACAAATTGCTTGAAAGGCAAGTCAAAAAATCAAATTTGCATTCAAAGAACTTCCAACAAAGGACACAATTTGGCAATTTTGGTAATGGATGCAAAAAGTGAGTTCCAACTATAATTCGATTTTTCATTAACGATTTTCTTCTTAAGTGATTTTTTAAGATCAAGTTAGAGAGACTTAAATAACCGCACTACTATCCAACCATTATGAATATTTTAATGTACAGTAATTTAAGCTCCTTGATTATTGATTTTCGAGTTCTGAAACTGAATAAAGCTGCTAGCCCTTTCTGGAAAAATCTTGGAAAGCTTTATTTTTTAATCCGAGTTTTGCCATGCTTACTTATTCACGGTCCATTTATTTCAGAATTCCTTTCTGAAGTTGAAGATATAATTGCCAAATGTTTCTTTTTTTTTGCGTATTTAAAATTTTTTTTATTTTGAACAAAAATGCTTCTGAATCGTAAGACAAACTAAGTAAGATTTTTCATCTAGTAAGAGCCTGGTGGGGATCGAACTGCCAACCTCTTGTTGAAAGGGCAACAAAGTCATTCTTTGAAAACGATTTCAAAGAAATGAACTCATTATGCAGATGCCAAATGACCTAAGTGAAAAATTTGACATAATTCATCACAGATTAGCTTACAATGTAAATACCAACTTTGAATCAAATCTTCTCTATCAAAACAATAAATTACGATTCTCGAGATTTCAGAAGCTGAAGTGACAAGTCATTTGACCGATGTCACTTTAACGAAGTTTCAAAAATGGCAAAATTAGCATCTGTTATTTGTTGAATTGTAACAATCTGCTGAAGCATTTATCGGATCCTTGGCCTTAAGTGGCTTTAAAAAAGACTAAGTTTAGTCATTATTTTTTTACCGAATTGCCCGAGTTGATAAAACTTTAGGTAAATTTTGGCACGAATATTTATAAAACTTTTTCGGTAATAAAAATTTTCGACCTTTTAAACTAAGCTTATTTTATCATAGCTTTCTCGGATAACTTTATTAGGCTTGATGTATTGAAACTTATTTGCATTGTAACATTTTTATGGCCCTTAATGGATAGCTAGACTAGACGATGGATTTCTGTTCATACAATAAGCTAGAACCCCGCCCTTAAGATCAACAAAATGTAAATAGACCTTTACCCTTTTGGCCTTGACCAAAATCCCAATTTTATGAACAAAAAAACATGCAACATGTGATCAAGTATTGAAGATAATGTTTACAAATTACTATTTCGAGATTTATTTTTCGAGTTTTTTCACATCCAACGCATAACTTCATCACCGTTTCAACTTATAAAAAGATCACGTTTTTTCTGCTCGTCTGTAATTTGTATCTCTTCTGGGCATCTTTTGCAAAGTTTAACACTTCATTTAACTTATTAAACAGTCTATATATGTCTCAACTATCGTCCAAAATCTGTAAATCAAAATGCTGGCAATAAAAAAAATTCAAGTGTTGGCATTTGAGGCAACTCCACTAAAAACTAGAGTCTAGTGTTTTGAATCTTGAAGACTTGGACCAAGTTGTCATTATGCAATGCATCTTCTCTTGGGCTTTCAGCTAAAACAATTTCAAGCCTTTTGGGACCAGACGCACCTTTCGGGTTCCCTACTCTACTAACTCACTATTACTATTACTTCTACGACTAAATAGACTAGTTATTCCTTCTGTAGTTATAACTAGTTATAACTAAAAGTTAGTACGGTGGGAAGTTCATTGGAGCATGTCTGAAGCCAAGTTGCCGGCCTTAACCAGCCGGTAGTGTTTACACGAGAAAATGCCCCGATTTAATGTGTTATTGGGCTATAATTGTATTTTATTCCGGCTAGGGTGCAAATAGTAACCGCAATTAGGTCGAAAATCAAACCAACCGAATCTGTACAAATAATTTGAACATTGTCGATTTTATTGAAAAAATTTATCTTCTATTGCAAAAAAGAGAGTTTTTTTACCAGATTCAACATAAAGTATAAGCGTAATCAGTTCTCCATAGAGATGTTTCTACTTAGGTATACATGCAGAAAATTTTTTAGTGAGATCCATTTCTCTCAATTTTTTTGCAGATATTTTTTGTTTGGTTTATTTTTTATCGATAATATTTTATTTCGGCTTCGTTTTGCACGAAAATTAAGTCAGACTGTTTCAATTTTAGTTGAAAGAAAATAGTGTCTAAAATATGGATAGCGAATTAATTTAACTTCCTTTAACTTAACTATTTCATTACTTTTCACTCAACTTCATTCAATTTTCCCAGTTAGGTTAAATGCTTGTTTTGCTTCTTGTGTCCTGGGCGAAATAAAAGAATGATGAAATTATTTCGCTCGGTGAGTTTAATGCATGTTTTGTAAACTTTTTACCCTGTCTAAATGAAATTTAACCTGTTAGCATCGGTAATTTAATATTTAAACGAGACGGGAATCAATTTTTTCATTGGGAAGTTTACTTTAAAAAAAATGTTTAAATCATGAAAATTTGTGTGCATAAAAGGAATTAATAGATGAAATATGTAGTGTTTTAAGACGACAAGATTTTGTACTCTAAGATCAGTGGCGTGCGTAGAAATTTTTCCTAGGGGGGGGGGTGGGGTTGTTTTTTCCGAAAAAATTTTGCGGACCTTTTTTTAGGTCGATCAATTTAATTATCCGAGCTCTCCGAACTATATAGACTATGATGTACATGATATGACAAAAGTTTTCGTTTAAAAAAAAAAACAATTGTTTCGAGACATATCGATGCTGAGCAATTATTGGAAAAATTGTAGAAAGCTTGGTTTTTAATATCTATATCAACAAAATTAGCATAACGTTTATCACACATCAATTTGAAGGTTTGTTGCAAAATTTTGAAAAATTTCTATAATTGGGTTGGCGAAGGTCGGATTATTAACCTATTAGAAAACTTCGTTCTGGTAACTTGGGTCATAATAACAGGATTTTGCGTGTCAATCTTATTGGTAGATGTCAATTTTTGCTGGATTTTTAACAAAGCGGAAGTTTTCAGATACTATTAGCAGTTTTGTGACAGTTTTTGGGAAATAAGTTTTCCTCTAAGTAGGATATCTCGTTAAAATTGGTCCCATTTTCGGCAATGAGCAAATGAATGACTTTATAAGACATAGACCATATTTCAATTAGGTATAGTGAAAAACTTATGCTTTATGCTTCTGATTTTGCTTCTACTTGTGTTTTATGGAATTCTGATGTATTCAAAATTAAATCAAGAGTTGATAGCTTTAATAATTTTTCCAAGCTTTAAACTCATTTTCTTTTTCATTTTCATCGTTTTACATCAATCGATTTATTGTTAAGTTAATAGTTTTATACTCAACTCAGGATTTTACTAAAAAACATATAGTTTGAGTTTTGCTAGAAAGTTTTGTTACTGAACAAAATCATAACATTCTCTAGAACAAAGAAGAAGCATCTTACTCAAAAATGCTTTTGATTCGTAGTGAAGAAATAAACGCAAAATGAAAATCGAAATGAGGAAAAAGAAAGGAAACTTTTTCAAATTGATAACTTAAAAGGACCCTTATAAATAAATATAAATTAAATCATTTTTTTTATAATAAAAAAACACCAACTTCTTAAAGACTTTCTGAAATTGCATTGATTTCGTCTGTGATGAGATAGAAAACAAAAGTTGGAAAACTGAGAGGGGGTAACTTGAAATTGATTAGTAGAAAAGTGCATTCTTCGCACCTGCAAGAATATCACTGGGGGCGCGTTGAATTTGTTGGTTAATTAGGAAAATCGGCATTGGGCTCTGACATGCAGATGACAATGCGGGTTAGGCTTTTGGGTAATTTTGGTTAAAGTTGGGAAGAAGTTCCATTGATGTCCATTGACGATGGAGTTTCATTAAAATGCCCCATCCTAGAGCCCAAGGGTACCTACCCCCTTTCCTTTGCCCACCTGTCCGAATCAGGGTCGTAAGCACTTGATTGGAAATCGTTATTTTTAATTAGTACTACTTTCCAAATTTGCCCTCAAAGTACTAAATAACCCCTTTAAGCACGCGTTGAGAACGGCGTGAGGGCTATTTTTCCACCCCCTCCCCCCTTGGAAAGTTCGAGCCTCTATTCAGAACAAACAAAGTAACTCACTTTTTCTTTGTTCAGGCTTTCAATCGAGTTGTGTTCAATATCTGGCTTCGTCTTATTCTAAATTTTTCCCTCAGAAAAGTTTAAATTTCAGAGTACAAAAGAAATTTAGAATTTTCCAACTTTCAGTTCAAATTGCCCATCGAAATCCAATACAAATTTTGTTCAATTCTTCTTAAATTCAATAATACTTTAAATTGCTCATTTTTCTGGACAATTATATCTATTGAATTGCCGGTTAACCAAAAAAAGTTTGCAATTATCTTCAATTTTTGTCATCCAATTTGGGATATTTTTCACTTACAAAGTATCTCATAATGTTCAATTTTAGATTGAAGCAGGTAAAAAATAAACATCTTCTTTTAGGTTAAAATTTGAGATATTAGTTGCTCAAAACTTCTAGAATGTTCTTATTTTGCAAAACTTACAATTCAGACGTAATCGCTTTGTGTTCTAACATAATTAGTGACTGGAAAAAGTTGATGTTCGTTTCAGGACGTCCTGTCTCCGTCGCTCACCAACTTTTCCTCGTCCTCCGGCGGGATACCACGTGATCACCATTCAAACCACGTGACCAAATGCACGACTTCCAATCCGAACAACCTTCCCGACTTCCTTCCAAACTCATTCGGCCTCTCGGCTTCAAATATCGACCAATCACAGCAGTCCATTAACTGCAACCAACTTCCTTCAGTGCACCATTTGTCAACGAACCAATCAGCGACCTCCAAAATCAACCAATCAAATTCCGCTCTCAACATTTCGAACAACGTTTCCTCAACTCATGGAAACTCCACACAACTTTCCTTAAATGGAAACATAGGCACGAATAATTCCAAGCACGACTCTAACAAGTACAATAGTGCCATATATGGAAAGGATTCGAGCAAATCGACAAAACATGGCCTGGATAAAAACGGAAACACCAAAAAATCTCAGTCGCAAAATTCGTCTCCAGGTTTGAAATTTTGAATAGTTTCAAAAGCGATGCTATTACAGCTGCCTAATTCTCGATAAATAGTTTAAAGAAAAATGCATTATATGGACTAAAAATTGCTTTTCCCGAGCAATAGCGAACTTTTTAAAATGAAATTTCTAGCAAAAATTTGTAACTGTAACCGAGTTTTTTTAGCCACATGTTTCATTTATTTGCGACACACCTAAACTGTTTATGACGCGTTAACTTATAATTTTATGAGTGAAACTTCACTGTCACAACTTTCATGTTTTTCACTCCTCCAAAAATAAAAATGTTGTGAAATCAGACAATTTGGTCACTTTAGACCGATTAGAAAACTTCAAAAGCCGCTGGTGTAATTAGATTGAGCAGGTAGCTTGTTATTTAAAAAGAAGTGATTAATTTTATCTTGTTTTCCGGTAGAATCTGAAGTCATTCGAGCTGTAAATCAGGGAGGTCAGTTTTAACCATGTGAAGTCAGGTGAAGACTTGGCACCTTTTAAATTAGTGATCTAGAACCAATTTTCCAGTTTTTGTCTGGAAATTTGTGTAAGTTTTGGGAGAATTCCCGCGGCGGTGCCAGGGCGTCGCGCCAGCGTAAAAACCGGACACTCGGCAACGTGCTAAAATGTCTGAACAAAGTGGTTAATAGGCGATATTAATGTCTTGATTTAGCTTGTTTGGGGTCAGGCTAGCGTGAACAAATTTCTTACACTTTATAGCACTTCGTTGGAGTAAAAATCAATCTTGCGTTGCAAATTTGCGGCCACCTTTCAAATATAAGAGGCGAAGATGAATTACTTGCAAATTTCAAAGCCCCTCCCTTCAATTTTAACTAAAGCCGAAACGCTTTTGTAATTAATATGGCCGAGCTTCATTCAGCAGCGGTAATATTAACTACAACAATTTGCTTTGTTTGCAATTGAAAAAAATCCCAAAATCACTTTCAATCTATCAATTCTTTTCAATTTTGATCAATACGTCACCTAGCTTTTTTTGCTCCGCAAAAATAGCCGGTGCTTTTGTTCCGATTTTTCTCTTTTTTGTTTTCCCGCGTTTCACCGCTAGGCCGGCAGCTTTTATCCCGCCAATTCGTCGGACCGTAACGAGAGGAGGCTTTAATTGAATCTGGGATTATACGGGAAAAAAACAAATCTGCTTTTAATGAATTCACATTACATAAACAAATTTTGAAAAAAAAACGTCTTTCTAAGATGATGCAGAAAGTGAATCAAGATCTTACTTTTTCGAATCAAATTTCTTTTAGAAAAAAAATTGAATTTTGCTAAATGTTAGGAAGAGGAGGGGGATAGGTGAGGGGGCAAGGGGTTGGCTTGGTTGTTGAATAGTGATGTATTTGTTTGTTTGTTTTGTAAGGGTGGGGACTACTGTTAAAAAGAAGCTAGGTTATTTAATCCCCGAACAAGTGTAGACATTTTTTATGAAATTTGGAATTAATATTCTGCTTATTTTCAAATAATACGGTTTTAACGAAAGCTATTCCCTGTTAATCCTCTCTTTGAAAACATTCTTACGCACCACCAATTAATTGCCGCAATAATAGACCAAAAACAAATTCTATTCAAATCTACTTTTTTCTTTTTCCTCCAAATTTTAATCTCTAATTCACCCGGCTAGTCAAATCTTGGTTTGAATAATTGAAAAAAAAACTATGCACTCACTGAAAAACATGCTCTATACAAAAGCCAGTATTCGTTTCAGTAATCACAAAAATAACAAAAAATGAGTTTTGGGATAAATTTTCCGCGGCTGGTCTGAAAAATTCTCATTCAATCCGAAACAAAGAGGATTTGAAAATACACCGGAGATTTCAGCCGGATTTTGGTTTCCAATACAAAAACGTACAAACAGCATTAGAGCATTGAGACAAGAAATACGTCATCTTTTCTACGGATGTGATAACATCACTGAAAAAAGAAACCTAAAGAAATTGAGAAAAAGTCTGAGTATAAATAGAAAATCTGGGGGAAAACCCTACCCCAACATAAAGTCTTATTTTTGCATAAGTACCTTAACTCAATGTGCTAAAAAGCCAATCTTTTTGAGACTTTTCATGCCTGATATCAGATTTTTGTCTAGGATTAAATCAACGTCGAAATATATGAGAGTTTTGAACCTAGTACCTTGCGATTTGTTAGAAGTTGGGTGGAGGGGGTTATGATAAATACAGAGATCCCAAAAATTCCAGAAAATTATCTCAGCAAAAAAAGAACTGAATGTCGAATGATTGAATTGTCTGTCAATGTACTGTTGTGTCCGCACAAAAACCAGTGTTTACTTTGACGCGCATCACTAGTCTCCAAATGACTTAATCACTCCATAAAACGTCCCTTCAAACACCATTTCTCAAAAGATGAGATCTCCTTTGATCTTTCAGACACCCCTTCACTTACAGATCATTTAGTCGAAAACTCATTTTGCAGACCATGACCGATTCAACATTTTCGTTGAAATTTTTCCTTTCAACTTTTCCAGGTCCGTATCATTTTAAGAAACAAAACTCAAAAAAATATCCTTACACAAAAAAATTGCAGTTTATTTTAAAAAAAATTGAAAATTTGGGAAACAATTTTTGAAAAATTCTACTTTGTCTACGCAAGCGTTCGGCAAAAGGAGGGCTGATTTGCTAGACACTCCTTTATTATTGTACTATAGTAGTACACAATATGTTGACAGATGTAAGTGATTCGATCGTAAATATCAAACGAAGGCTAGCCTACTAGGAACTAATTTGCAACGCTTTTTGATCTGAAACTAGAGAATGGTTTCTTCGAAGCTCCTCCAATCGAGTTATGATGGTCGAATTTAGATCGTAATGGCCAGCGAGCGTTTCTGATTGAGTTGTTTTTGATTTGTATCGAAAAGGTGTTTTTAGCTTCAAACGACGGTTTTTTAAAAGTAACAAATTTGCAAATGGTTTTCGATCTGAAACCAAAGAGTGGGTTTTTCAGATATTCAGAAAAAGATGTGATATAGTTGATTTTTTTAACCTTTGCTTGGAGCTTCTTCAGTATTTTATATAGACAAAAATTTATTTTATATTGAATCAAAAATTTATATACTAAGGTCAATTAGTTTTTGTGAAGAATCAGTTGCATGGCAAATTAGGTTGAAATTCTTTTAATTGAAAGTTTTTATCGTCAAAAACGTTTTTCAAAACCTAAATTTAACCAAAACTTGCTTTTAAAAATTGTGAAAACACATGACAGCTGAAATGAATCAAACATCTTCATGAACTGCAATCTTTTCATTTAGATAATTTGATGCTATTATCGGATTCCATTGTTACCTAAAAAGACACTTAATAGCCCTTTTTGTTTCCCTAACAATACCTTCAAAGCCCTAGTGTAACCTATCTAAACTCGGCCCAAGATTCCCCTTTTGTTGGGCTCAATCTTTTCCAGTATTAAAAAGACCCATTCAAGGGAGTTTAGCTGGTCGAAATATTGAAAGCAATCCAATTTTGTGACATTCTGTCATATTCAGCCAGTTTAGGCTGTTTTTTAACCAGTAGTTAATCATGCTCGGTGATTTTGGTCGATGTTTTTTAAACCGATTAACTTACAAAAATTGTTCTGAAGTCATAATAATTAACAAATTTTCACACATGATTATTTGGAAGTTGATTATTTGTTGAATTATTTGCGGTTTTCCAGGGTGAAAGTCAAAATATTTAGGACACAAACACAAAGAGTTTTGCAAGATTTTTGTTGTTGTAGCTTCAATCTGATTGTTGTTTCTCTGGCTTTGGGTACGAGCGGAAAGTTATTGTTGGCCAGCCTGGATGGAATTTAAATAATAAGTCTCTTAAACTGAAGTCTCTTAAAATAAATTTATAAGTCTCTTAAACTGAAATGTCTTTCAATAAAGTTTTTGAGCGTCATATTCGTAATGGAAGTACTTTTCTCCAAATTTTATGGCCATTGACTAAAAATTTGAAAAATTCAAATATTTTTGATAAACCATTTTTTTTAAAGACAGTCAGATATTAATTGATTCTGAAGAAGAGAATTATTCCTTTTTAAAATCAAGAATAAAAATTTTGAGTTTTCCTAGAAAAATGATAAAAACTTTCCCAGTAGTCAAATTAAGAGCTTTGTGTTGTTTTCGGTTGACCTAATTAATTGGTATGTAGCTAGGCTAATTTTACACGTGAAAACACTCATTTTCATTTTTGCTTCCAAATTGGTATACAACTATAAACAAAACTGGGGCTAAAATAGAGAAGAGTATCTTTTAGTATTCTGTAGTATTTTGAGTAAAATGCAGCTTGACAGTTAATTAAATCAGACCACGTATATGCTGACAAGAATTGTCACTTTCAATTAAATATTTCATTACAAGAATCCTGTGTCTAACCCAGCCCTAATTCCTGAATTTATTTCGGATCAATTACAAACCGGATTATAAATACAGGGACTTTGGTTACAACTAACCAATGCTGTTAAGGTAGCGACCAATTTCCCAACGAAACCTGATAATAAAATGTTAAATTAAAGCACGGATGAGTTGAAATTTTTGCCCGCCCAGAAATTTAGGTTAAAAATGCATAATATAATTGTGGTCGAGCAAGCAAAAAATGTGTTTTCCATACAATTTTTCAGCTCCCGACATGACAAAAAATAACAAAATAATCCCTGTATTTTTCTAACTATTTTTTTCTAATTATTTTTTCTTCATTTTAATAAAAGTTTTGAGGTATTTAAACTGTGTTAGTTCTGAATCTGAAAAAAACTATAAAACAAAAGTTATCAGTTCATTTATTAATTTTCTCTTAAAAGAATACAATTTTAACTATGATCTGTTTTTTTTTGTTCAGAAGTGTCCGATCGTTCCGATAGCTTCAGTCCCGTAAACACAAACAACACGACAAACAATGACTCATCGGGGGGTGGGGCTACCAACAACCACAACAACAATCAGGGAGTGACGTCACCCACAGGGTCAGATGAGTCCATGGACCCCAAGAAACCCCAGAAGAAGAGGGGAATATTCCCCAAGACTGCCACTAATATCATGCGGGCATGGCTCTTCCAACACTTGACGGTAATTATACTTAAAGCCTTACAAATTTGATTTTTTGAGCAAAAAAAACATCAATTTTTTTGTGTATTTTTTGTGAGCTCTTCTTACACAACAGCCATTACCAAAATTCCTAAATTTTGAGTTTTTTGGCATAAAATAGCATTGTGATCAGGGGCGGATTTAGGGGGGGGGGCGGGGGGGCGGACGCCCCCCCCTCAGGGATTCGACCCCCTGCCGACCCAAAGGGTCCCCCCTTTGATACTTTTTCAGAAATCCATTTTTGCCCGACCGACCCTAAAATTTTTCTAAAGGCGCCTTGGGCGCCAATATATACTAACTTTGAGGGGGAGCGCGCGCCAAATAAAACGCGATTTTTTTTGTCAAAATTTTTCAAAAAGTGCCCAAAAACGGCTTTTTTTGACTGTTTTTTCAAAAATTTGCCTGCGGCGCAGAAAATTTAGCCAAAATAGGGGCAAAACACCCTCGAGAAAATCCTAGATCCGCCCCTGATTGTGATTATGATTTGCGTGAAGTTTTCATTTAACTAATTTAGTTAAAATCAAGTTAAGACATCTTATCCTTGTCCCCGGGTGGCGGTAGCTATAGTTTGTTTTTCACTTATTGCTATATTTAATGCTTGTATGAGGATTAAACCTGAATTCAAATCCTCCTTAGCTTATCAATTTCGAGTTTTCAGACTGTTCTATTTATTTTCAATAAAAAAATTAGTGTTAAAACAAATCAAAACATTTGAAATTTCTCATTAATTTCGTGCAATTTTTCCATTAGCTTCCGTTTAGGCTCCTAATATAAGTCATTACTGCAAAATGAGACGAAATTAGCAGATGCCACTAACTCATTCAACGCCGAACTCCAAAAATATTCACCCTCAATTTGTGATCTGCTTAATTACGTAATTTGTCGCGGGCGCGGCAGGTTTTTTGTCCATACAATAAACAGAAATCATCCCGAGAAAATCATTAACCGGAGAGATAGTTGTAAAATGCTGTTCTTTTGATGCCCAAATGTAGTCTAAAAGGAAATGGGCTAAATTTCCTGTTTCGCTAAAAGCAGATTTATGTCAGAATCTACAATTGGTCGTAACTCATCCAGAAAACTCTCACTTTTTTCCACGCTTTTCCAGACTTTTTTTTATAGATTTGCATAGTCAATTACGCAGGCAATAACGCGACAAGTTGTTGCTACTTTGTTTTTTATTTCAGCGCGGAGCCTCGAGGAAAATTAACTTTCATCGAACCCACAACGGGTTGTGTAACTAATAACTACTATGTTATAAACACTACTTAGGTTATTGAAAAGTTTCATCACATATGCTCCTTAGTAAATTCAGGACAAAAATGCCCTCGAAATCACCATTGGCCCGATGATTTTATTTGTTTCCTGCTTTGAAAAAATAAAGTCTACTTGTCTACAAAATTGAAGTATTTTTAGGAGATGGGGTGCTTTTTATATCTGAACTGAAGCATTGAACCAAAACTGATTGATATTTTTTAAATTCCAGCTTACTTTCTGCACAAATATGTGTAGTGGGTTCCATACTAAAAGAAAAAATTATGTTGAAAAACTCAAATTTCACTCAAAATCAGAAATCTTTGTCAAGTTGTTTGAAACAGAGGAGCATTGTTATGTTAAGTATTCAAGAAAAAATGTTGATTTCGAGTTTTTATACTCCAATTCTGCGGCCCTCGATGGCTCAAAATTAGAGCAGATGAAAATTTGAACATGTACTTTTTTAATCCTTTGCTTCTTTGTTTTCAGCACCCCTATCCTTCGGAAGAGCAGAAGAAACAACTGGCCCAAGACACCGGACTGACAATCCTACAAGTTAATAACTGGTTAGTATGTTCTATACATTTTCATATCTTTTTGAATGTTCTGACCAGTTTGGTCTAATTAATATATTGGTAGCTATCTTATAACCAGCTAATCATCATTAACAGCAGCAAAACATGATTTGGCAGCATTTTGTCAAAATGAATCTCTTTACTTCTTGGTGCAATTTTTCAATAATGTTAAATTGAGCATTTAATGGCCGCTTGAAAACCACTCAGAGCGTCTAATAGCTCTCATATTATTTTTCAATGATTTCTCTTGTAAGTGGTGTCATTTTCTCACTTACTCAATTCTTCATAAAAATTCTCATACCATCACGCCAAGTTATAAACAATCAATAACCAAAGATACACCTGGTTGCATTATTAAATTATTACAACTAGTATAACCAAGTTCTACAAGTTACAACTGTTTTTAATACATTATCGGCAGATGCCAACACAGTTACAAACCAGATTAGAGACTTTTGCGTCAGAAAAATCAAATACCAAACTTGACAAACTGTAATCCAGGCTTGAAAAAAATCTTAAAAAAAGTATAATCTAAAACAAAAAAATGAAACCAAGCTGAAAAAACAGCGTTGAAAGCTTACAAAGCTTACCAAATAATATTCAAACTATCTTTACTATACAAAAATTGGTGACAAAAAAGCGTTGAAAACTTACAAAACTGACCAAATAATAAGTAAACTATCTTCATAATAGCGAAGGTGGGGCTTGACAGAAGTGGTACTCAATAATGTAATTTAGCTGGCATCGCAACTAGCTGAACGCAGTTTGTTTTTTGACGCTTAGAATCGAGAATACCATCAAGAACGCATCTTTAGACTATTATTAACAAACTTCTAGACAATAAACCATAATAAAATATTATGTTTTCTGTTTTGCACAATATGCCATCTTGTCTGCGGTTAAAGTGATTTAACAAACAAAAATATTGGTGATCATTTTTTGCATGCTTTTTCTGGCATTTCTGGACAAAATCAAGAAAAATACACCAATCTTCATTACTGTTTCTAAAACATCGGAAACAAATGGGCGGGATTTCTCAAACTCCTGAACTGTCCCTGATTATTACTTTTTTTGTTTCAGGTTCATAAATGCGAGACGTAGAATTGTGCAGCCGATGATCGATCAATCCAACAGAGCAGGTAAAAAAATTGGAAATTCTTTTTGTTTAAAAAAATCTATTTGTCTGATTTTAATTTGATTTCACGACGTTTTTAACATATTAAGTTTAGCAAAAAAAATCCAGATTCTTCCCACTTCAAAATATGCCTTTTTCATTTTTTTTTTTTCATAAATGAAGACTAAATTTTTCCAGAACATACTACTTTTGCCCGCACTTCAAAATTTGCAGTTTTTTGTGTTAACAAGAAAGTTTAGTTTAGTGGAATCTAGGTGTGATATATTTTTGATTGACAGTTTCAAGACGGTCACTTTTTCAAACATATCCTTCGCTTCACCCTGGTTGAATTTTAATTGAATACTTAAAAGGTCCCCCCTTTGTGCATTAGAGTAGCCTGGGTTTCTTTTTTGAGGAGAGGGGAGGGAGAGAGGCGGGTTAATGGGCGAGCTATCCGGCCTATCTTGGGTTCATATCCATAGGAAAGTTCCCGGGTTAATTTATTCATGCTTAGATAATTGGGTTAATGAGAGAGTTATAAGAGAGCTATTAACCACTTATCCCTGAAAAAAGTGTACTCTTGTGTTTACACGTCGCTAAGCATTCAAAGATGCTGTCTCTTTCAAAATGAAGATATAATCAAACATTAACTAATCTGTTTTGCAATATTGTACGCAGGGCGAGAGCTTGCAATAGTTAATTGAACCCAGACCAAATGTTCAAAAAATCAAAAATTTTGCAAAAAGCGACAACAAAATATATTTTCATAAGAAAACTCATTGAAAACATTGAAAGTTAACTAAAAAAGTCACTTAGAATCAGTAAAAAAAACCACATCCGCAAAATTTTCTGAAATTTAAACTTTCTAATAGATAACAATTCAGTCAAACAACGCAGCAAAATAAAATTTTCAGAAAAACAACCCTGAAATAACGGATCCACATTTTTTCTTTCTGACCATAAATGGTGAGAGTCATCTGCATCAAAAAAGTGGAAGAAATCTCGTGGTGGATTGTTTGTTGCGGCAGTATCGAATGGCTGAAACCGATAATGAATCCGATTAAAGCTGATCAAATTGTGATAATTATTTAGGATATTGTTCACGCACGACGCTTGTCATATTACGCAAATCTAATTACAAATCCATTCTTCCCAATCTTTCCCCCTTGTTCCATTCTTGTTCAAATCTTGTTCAATCCCATTCCAATTTCACCCCCCGAAAAGCCTTTTAATACCCCAATTATGTGATTGACGGGCGCCAAGCGGACCCTTTAGTTCTCCCAAATGCAACCCGCCTCTCACTTTTGGTCTGATTTTTCACCCGGGTTCAACCTCTCCCCTTGACATCAAAATACTGCAGCCCGTTTACGCGGAAATAGCTCATCGAATGGTTAAATAAGCCAACTGCGTTAGAATGCCGTTAATACCACGAAGTTGGAAAGAAGAAAAAAACTAAAGAAATCTTTGTCTTTATAGCTGTATGAAATGAAAAAAAAAACGCTAAAAATTTTTTATTCTTAATTTTTTGGATTTTTTTTTCATATTTTTGATGAGCAATGAAAAAATTTAAAACTGAGTTCAGTTTTGTAATGTTATTCGATTTTTCAAACTATATTTTTCTTGTTTCAGGCATGCCAGCGGCATACGCGGCCGATGCTTCGCAAATGGGAGCATTTATGCTAGATGGACAACAGGCTCCATACCATCTCAGACATCATCCAAGTAAGCGATGCTCACTAATAGCACCTTGTCCTAACCATCAATTAGCCGATTTTATTCCGTTTTTATGAATTTCTTCTATAACGTCAAATTAGTTCGATGTTAAAGCTGAAGTAAAATAACAGCTTGACAAAAAATTTAATATCATAGGTCGGACAAGGGGTTTGTTTGTCATGAGAAATATCTACAAACTATATTTCAAGCTGTATAAAAACTGGATAAAAAATTATTCTGAACTTCGGAGATTTTTGAAAAAGAGGATGCATTCGATTAATTAGTTGAAGCGTCATCTAGCAACCCGATTACGTCATATATCCGTTCATCAAACATAATGTAATTGTTACGTAACTTTTGATATATTGTCGTAAGCCCATTCATCAAACATTAAGTAATTGTTACGTAACTTTTCAGTGATGCATGCCGCAGCAACTCTGGCTCATGGTGGTAACCCAGGAGCAGACATGGCAGCCGCCACTCAATTCGCAGCCGGCTATCCGGGAGCAGCGGCCGCGGCAGCCTCTGGATTCCACCACCACCCCTCCCAGGCGGCCATGTTGATTCCTGGACACCCCCACGCGGCTATGATGATGCCCCCTCATGCAGCGGCCGCACTGCACCACCAGCATTATCAGCAGCAGGTATGTGTTAGTATCATGTATATTAATTATATCTCGACTCACAAGCGATAGGTTGGAGTCTCGAGTCCCGCTAGGACTTATTGATATCTGTGTAAAAATTTTGTTTTGCAAATTTATTTTTCTTGAATGCGAACAAGTGAGACTTATTATAGTTAATGAGAATTTGAAAAGTCAAACAATTTACAAAAAATCGAGTTACACACGTAAAAAGACATAAACTAAAAAATTGACATTCCATTATGAAACGAGAAAAAAATATACAGCTTAGGAAAATTTGTGAAGTTCAACATTTTTTTTTGTTCCAGGCTTTAATGGATCCGATGACTACACAACATGTGATGGATTCGATCCACTCCTAGTTCCAAATCCAATCCGACCAATCAGAAAGCGTGATTTATTATCCAATCAGATCACGCCGTTCGAAACTGACACTGGTCGACCTACCTTATATGGTAACGGGCGACTACCAAATACAAATGGTGCTAAATCTATTTAAATTTCTCAAATTTTCTCTATTCAAAAAACTTTTTCTATCAATGTGTACTACAACTTATATTACCCAAAACTGATTTTCTGCTTCAAACTACAAGTTATTATTCATTGATCGTTATTTAAATTTTACTGCCATTTCTACCTGAAAACGTTTTCATAAAAACAGTTTCAGAGATTTTTGGTTATCGGGCTTTAAATTAGTAATAATTTTTGTATTCATTTCTCAGCTTTTGTTATAAATTTTAGATTTATTTTGCTCTTGCTCAATCTGATTTAAATGAGATGTAGTTTTTCATGTTTCAAAACCGATTAAGTTGCTAATGCAAATCTCTTAATACGTAGATTCTAATTGATCATTTATCAAACTTAGTTCTCAAGTACCGAGGAAAAAGGATTTAAGGAAAAAGCGGGGTGAACTTTTGTCGTGAGTTCGATCATGTTTGTCGAGGTTTGTCCTTCATGACTCAACTGGAGCGCGTCGAACTCGTGAAGCTGTTCGACTGAAACTACCTGGGCTAGAAGGCCCTATAGTAGATGCCAATGTCTAAGCATAAATTTGAGTCAATTGACTTTCTGCTTACAGTTTGAGCATAGTTATAGTATATATTGGCGCCAGAGGCGGTTTTAGAAAAATTTTAAGGTCAATCAACCAAAAATGGAAGGTCTTAAAATAGTACCAAAGGTGAACCTTTTGAGTAGTCAGGGGGTCGAATCCCTAAAAACAAAGGCGTCCTCCCCCCTTTAAATCTGCTACTGAAAATAGTCGTAACTAATCAGCAAAAAGACTAAACTTGTTTTCATAACTAGCATGAATTTTAGATAACCAATTTCACCAATTTTTCAAACATCAAATTGAAAACAAAATAACTAATTACTGAACTGAAACGTAAAATCAGATAATGAGTGACACTTTCTCTTCCACGTACCAATGAATTTACCTGATTGAAATCTTGCAGACACATTTTTTCATAACAGATCTCCTCAATTCAAACTAAGGCTGAATGAGCTTCAAAATTATACCACTCCAGATTCAGATTCAGTTTCAGATTTTTTGAGAAACATAAAGTCCCCTTAAAACATTAATGGTGCCTTAGCCTGCTTTGCCTCGTGGAATTGGTTATATAGTGAAAAAACTTTTATCAGCAATTTCAAAGTTTGGCTATTCTCTAATTTCTCTTTTGACTTGAAATGTAACAATTTACAGAATTCATCTTCGTTGCTTCAATTAAAACACGTCCAAGATCTTTACGGGGCAGATTTTTTTTTCCAAAAAACGCATGCTGAATTCTTTTCATGCTCACGTTAGCAGATGAGAAAATTACACAAAAAACTCTAATATCAAAAACCTGAATGTTCCTTTTCTTTAGTTAACAAATCTAATATAGTTGTTTGATAGCTTCTTCAAATTTTTTCGTTCGAATCTTCCCTTTCACTCAAAGAACCTAAAATATCTTTTACTCAATGTTTTGATCAATTAACGCAATATTAGAATCAATTGGCTACGCTCATTTTCAATGAAAGTTCTATCAATGTGCTGTACGGGTTTATAAAAATTGGAACATTTTGGGCTCTGACATTCACAGTTTGGCCAATTTGACATTTTCAAAGCCCCAAAAATTAACAAAAAATGGTAATAGCTTTAGTTTGTTTCTGAAATTGAGCTTAAAGCAAAAAATTTATCTTTCAAACTGTATAAAAATTTTAGCCAAGATGCTGGTTCAAATGTCGAAGTTTTCATTGAGAAGTAAAAAACCACTCAGGCACATTAACTTTGTTACTTTCCTCGCAAAACAGAAAAAAGCTTTTCTAGTTTTCAATCATATAGCTGGGCGTTACTTGCTTCGTTATCTCCTCTTAAGTCAATTTTTTTTGAAAGATTATCACGGGTTGCGATCAAGCGGAAAAATATCATAAAAGCATCGTGGGTTTTTGGAGAAAACCCAAATTGCTTTCTAAGAAAATCGCCCCGCAAAAGTTTTTCTTTCAAGCTATAAAGGATAATTGAAAAAAGTACAAAATTTTCATCACAATGTTTTGGGACTAGAAAGAAACGGAAAAAAAACATTAATTTTCGATTTTCGTTGCATCTGAAATTGGAAGAAACAAAACTGTTTGACATACTGTCAAAGATTTTTACAAAAAATGGCAATTAGGAAACAAAAAATCTAAACCTAGTTATAACTGTTGCTTTTTAGCTTTTAACACGTGAAACATAAACTTTAAGATTATTTATAGAATTTTTTTAGCTGAACTTTTTGAGACAGTGAGTTTCAGGTTTTGAAGAAAATGGCCATTTTTTGAAAATAACGGCATCTCACCTGATTAAAATGAATCATTTTTTTGAAAACAAAAAAAATCTTAGATTAGCAAAAATCTTTGAATATTAAATATTACCACATATGAATCTTTTGTAGTACTCAGCAATTAAAATTTCAAAATTATTAACTAACTTGAGTTTAAAGTCATTATGAACAAATAAAAGTATTACACAAAAAAACTAAATTTGGTTATAATCCATTATAAACGATTAAAATGGATTATGTTTCTTTCCAAAAAATTTAGTTGAAAAATCATCTATAATTGATTAACATTGGATTCCTTTTTCAAAAAACTTTAACTTTATTATCCATTCTAATCAAAGATTGTTGTCGCAATTTAGAGAGGCAGTCTGAAAAATCCAACTAATCGATTACTATCCATGACAATTCAGTGCGGGACATCTCTTTTGCAACTAACACAAATTAATTGCGCATATGTTTACTCGAGTTTCCGTTTGGAACCATGAGCAGTCTTTGGCCAAAAAAGTAAAAGTCTCAGCTATGTCCAGAACTTGAACATGAAGTGTATTTGTTTGTAAAATGAATAAGAAAATAGGTTGTCCAGTTATACTGTATGATACGCACGAAAAAATCTAGTTAGCTTACAAAATCAAAAAAATCTAAATCATTTTTATACTTCTTGAGCATTTGATTTGAAAATTTTCAATCTTATTTTTTTGCTTTATTTAAAAAATTTATTTCGGAGTTGAAAACAAAAGTTTGGAAAACGAAGGTAATTGCATGATGGGCAAGTAGCACAGATTGTTGCGACCAATTTAGAGAAACAAAGGCAAAAAATATATATACATATAAAAAACTCCGTTTCTTTTTGCGTGACAGAGAATTTTTCGGATCATTTCTTTCTGACTCCCTAGAGGTGAGAGAAATGTGATCAGAGATCTTTCGACAGCATGAAAAAGTTGATAACTGAACAGTGTCGACTGTAAAATTGATGCGTGAATCTATGACTCCACTCAACCAATTGATCAGAAACTTTTTTTAAATCAAAACTTGATGTTAAACTGAACCCAATCAAAATCGTTCTAACTTTAAAACTACTGTACCAGCATTTCATAAAATTATTTTTTCACTATAGTTAAACAATGATCATAATCTTCTGTTGTGGTGTTTCATCTTGACTTTTTTATGCAGCCTCGAATTCTTGCTGAAGTGAAATTTAGTCACTCAAGTCGAGGAACGACAGTTTTTGGAAAACAGATATCGTGAAACAAAGCGGCGTTTTTTTTGCGAGAAAGTTAGATGAGCTAGTTTCTCCTGACGATTGGACTCGAGAAGTTTATCAAGACAGCAATTTTTCAAACAAACATCATCAGTTAGCCGTAATTCTTAAGCCGAGCCCAATGCAGTTTGCTCTGAATTTATGTGAGAGAATAGGACGAACTATTTGTTTTCAGGCAGTTAGATATGAAGAAAATTGTCATTGAAAAAATGCACCATATCTCTTTCAAGTGCACCAAATCAGCGGTACTTCAAACCTAACACATCCAGTTAACAGTTTTTTTTTGGAATCAATGCAATTGTTCATGCATCAAACCAGCGATATCTCAACTTCACGCATCATGTCAGTAGTATTTTCTTCGTCAAAAAAACTTAGTCTTCACTTGTGAGAAAATGGGATCAACTAATTTTTCCTGGCGATTGGTTTCGAAGATAGTTAAGACCAGAAAAAAAACATACATTTTCTCAAGTGCATCAAGTCAGCCGTTATTCAAACAAGCCCAATCAATCCAGCAGTATTTGTTGACTCCAATGCAATTGGTCCCTTTTTTGTTGAGAAAATTGAGTAAACTTATTTTCGTGGCAGTTGGATTTGAGGCAAAATGTAATTTGAAATAATAAAGATGCATCAAGACAGCAGTTTTTTGAAATTCCGATGGGATGAGCGATTTTTTTCGAACCCACAATTGTTGATTTCAGGAGAACTGTGATTGAAAAAGTTAGAAAAACTCTCAAGTGCAACAAATCAGCGATATTTCAAACCTCATTCATCAAGTCAACAGTATTTTTTGAATCCAATGGAAATGCTTTCAACCTTTTGTTAGAGAATAGGATAAGCTAATGATTCCCAGCGATTCGATTCGAGGAGAGCTGAGATCCGAGAAAAAAAGAAGACTTTCAAGTCCATTTGAAATCAGCCACATCAAATCAGCAGTAATTTTTGAATCCGAAGCAGTTAGTTCTCGCATTTTGCGTAGGGAAATGGATGAGCAAGGTTCTCATGGCGATTGGAGTCGAAGAGAATTGCGATCCAAACTATAAAAATACTCTCAAATGCAAGACAGCGGTTTTTAAAACCTCCAGCATCAAGTAAGAGATATTTCTGGAAACCAATGCAGTTTGCTCTCGTTTTTTGCGAGCGATTGAGACGAACATGTATTTTCTGGCAATTAGATATGAAAAAAATTGTAATTGGTTAATTTAGAAACAATCTCAAGGTTATCAAATCAGCAAAATACTCACTCATCAAGTCAAAATTTTTTCTTAAATTTATTGCAGTTGGTCCTTTCTTTTAGCGGCGAGAAATTTGGATAAGCTAGTTTTCCATGCAATTAGATTTGGAGAGAAGTGTAATGCAAAACAATAGAATTAAATTCAAGACCATCAAATCAGCGTATTTCACACAAGCTGCATCAAACCTGCTGTTTTTTGTGAATCCAATGCAGTTGATCCTCGCTTTTTGTAAGAGAGATGGATGCGCTAGTGTCTCGCGTCGCGAGGAGAACTGTAATCCTGAGAACTGGATGTGAGGAGAACTGTGATCCTAAGGATCATAAAAACTCGCAAGTGTACCAATTCAGCGGTGTATGAAAAATCAGCATCAAGTAGCTAGTATTTCTCAAAACCAATGCAGTTGGTCGCCCACAATTTTTGTGTGAGAAATCAGCGAACGAAAGTTTCCTGGCGATTAGTTTCGAGATGAACGGTGATCCGAAAACTTAGAAAAAGCTCTTGGCTGCATTGGCTCAGCGGTATTTCAAACAATTCGCATCAAG